TCTGTTACAAAGATAGGCCATATAATTCACTCTGAGGAGGATATCAATGAACTCCAGGACGATTTGGACAAATTAATGTCTTGGTCTGAAAAATGGCAGATGAAGTTCAATGTGGTTAAGTGTAAGCTACTTGCCCTTGGTAATGAAAATAACCCTCGAAGCTATAATCTAGGTGAAGTAGAGCTTGATCATACAGAATGTGAAAAAGACTTGGGAGTCATGGTAAGCAGAAATCTAAAGCAGTGCCTTAGTGTGCGCAACAAGGCCAACAGATTACTTGGATTTATCTCAAGAAGTATAAGTAACAGAAGTCCAAAAGTTATTTTACAGCTCTATACATCACTAGTGAGGCCTCATTTAGATTATGCTGCTCAGTTTTGGTCCCCTTACTACAGGATAGATATACTCAGAGAACATACAGAGAAGAATGACTAAAATGATTTACTGTGTAAGGAACCTCCCGTATGAAGATAGACTTTAAGCCTTAAATCTCCACTCTCTGGAGAGGCGTAGAATGAGGGGAGATATCATTGAAGTGTATAAGTGGATGACAGGCATAAACAAGGGAGGTATTAATAAAGTACTGAGGGTGTCGAACCAGGTAAGAACCAGAAATAATGGATATAAGTTGGATAAATTTAGATTTAGAAAGGACATAGGTAAGTACTGGTTTTCTAACAGAGTTGTAGATGCGTGGAACAGTCTTCCCAGTGGGGTGATAGAGGCTAGGACCTTGGGTAGCTTTAAGAAGAGACTGGACAAATATATGAGTGGGAGGGACTGGGTTTGATTGGTGTCATGGGGTACGGGAGTTATTTCTTGGGTAGCTTTAGGTAGAGGTCGTTTTGATAAGGACCTGCCTCGTATGGGCCAGTAGGCCTTCTGCAGTGTTCCTACATTCTTATGTTCTTATGTCTCTTTAAAACTTCCCTAAAATGGGCCAAGACTTTGTCACTGTACATGTTGCCAACATGGCTTGCAACAACCTTGTCAGGGTGATGTTTTTCCATAAAGCTTTCCATCTTACCCCACATAGCAAAAATCTCTTTAATTTCTGAAGAAGGCACCATCATCCATCTCTCTTCCTCCTCCTCTGCAGCAAGATTCTGAGCTGCGATCTGTTGCTGTTCCTGCTGAAGCTCTTGCAGCTCCTCAGTGGTGAGCTCTTAGTTGTCGTCTTCCACCAATTCTTCCACACCCTCCAAACTCACATCCAACCCCATGGAACTCCCCAGTGCCACAATTGATTTTATAACAGACATAGGCTCATCAGGGTCAGTCCCAAACCCTTCAAAATCCCTCTTGTCGACACAATCTGGCCACAATTTTCTCCAGGCAGAGTTCAAAGTCCTGGTAGTCACTCCCTCCTCCATTGCATAACCTATAAGGGTTATGCAATGGAGGATGCTGAAGTGTTCTCTCCAAAATTCCCTTAGGGTCAAGTGAGTGTCTGTGGTCACAGTCAAGCACCTGTGAAACATTGCTTTTGTGTAGAGTTTTTTAAAGTTTGCAATGACCTGCTGGTCCATGGGCTGGAGGAGAGGAGTGGTATTCGGGGGCAAGAACTTTACTGTGATGAACCCAAACTCCTCGAAAATTAGGTCATCCAAGTTTGGAGGATGAGCAGATGCATTGTCCATTACTAGCAGGCACTTGAGATCCAATTTCTTTTCCAGGAGGTAATTCTTCATACTAGGGCCAAACACTTCATTGAACCATTCGACGAAAATTTCCCTCGTGACCCATGCCTTACTATTAGATTTCCAAAACACACACAATTTACTCTTCATAACATTGTTTTTCCTGAACACTCTGGGATTTTCAGAATGGTACACTAGTAATGGCTTCACTTTGAAATCCCCACTAGCATTAGCACAGAACATTAGTGTCAGCCTGTCTTTCATAGGCTTGTGTCCTGGCATTGCCTTTTCCTCCTGTGTAATGAAGGTCCTCTTTGTCATTTTCTTCCAAAAGAGGCCTGTTTTGTCACAATTGAACACTTGTTCAGGTTTCAGTCCTTCAGCCTCTATGTACTCATGGAATTCATGCACATGTTTTTCAGCCGCCTTGTGGTCTGAACTGGCAGCCTCACCATGCCTTACCACACTGTGTATGCCAGTACGGTTCTTAAATCTCTCAAACCAACCTTTGCTGGCCTTAAATTCACTCACATCACCACTATTTTCAGGCAATTTCTTTACCAGATCGTTGTGCAACTGCCTAGCCTTTTCACAAATAATCGAAGTCATAAGAGTATCTCCTGCTAATTGTTTCTCATTTATCCACACCAATAATAACTTCTCAACCTCTTCCAGTACTGGTGATCTAATTTTTGTCAGCATAGTTACCCCCTTTGCAACAACAGCATCCTTGATTTCCTTTTTCTTGGCCACTGGAACATATGGTTGTGTAGGGTTTCTTATACATCCTGGCCAGTTTGGCCACACTTGTACCACTTTCATATTGTTCAATGATGTTTTTCTTAAATTCAGTCATATTTCTCACCTTCTTTACCACAAGCTTGGCACTAGGAGCTTTCTTTGGAGCCATGGTAGCTTATTTAGTACTTGCAAGCACTAAAATAAATGGAATATTATGAAATATTTCGCTGGAGCACGTGAGGAGACCTTCGCTCACTGGTAAACAATGCCAGACTGGCTGCCGCCCCGGCTCACGCCGTGGGTACGCGTCTCGGATGAACTACGACTCGCGAGTCAACCTATGAAAAACGAGCCCATGTTTATACGAAAATACCCCTATGATTTCCGAAATCTATGATTGCCGAGAACTACGAAAAGCAAGGGACCACTGTATAACTAAGTCAAATAATATAAAACAATATACGTACTGTATTTACGATTTAGCTAATATCGCAGATATAAGGAATATAACATTATATGAACAGGTAATATACATTATATACATTGTGACCCATTCAGGGGTCACAGTATGTCATTATATATACAGTGGACCCCCGGTTAACGAACTTTTTTCATTCCAGTAGTATGTTCAGGTGCCAGTACTGACCGAATTTTTTCCCATAAGGAATATTGTGAAGTAGATTAGTCCGTTTCAGACCCCCAAACATACACGTACAAACGCACTTCCATAAATACACTTACATAATTGGTCGCATTTGGAGGTGATCGTTAAGTGGGGGTCCACTGTATATATATACAGTAAGGCCCCGCTTTACGGCGTTTCACCTTACGGTGTTCAGCTAATACGGCGATGTCAAATTATGACCAAAATTTGCTATACGGCAAGTGGTCTTTTAAATACGGCGTCCCCACCCAGTTTGTTTACATTTTCCGTGACTACATCTATTATGTCAGGAAACTTTCCAAAATTTCAAGTGTTTAAAGTTACTGCATATTTTATATGTACTCTGATAATTATACTTATGTGTACCTGTACTTAACCATTAAACGGTCCAAACGTATATATACGTTCACTCGCGTAGCGCCCCAAATTTTTTGAGGAAAAAAAAAATCTTTTCTTTTAAAAGGAAAAAAGAGCATATGGTACCAAGGCATCCTCAATTATTTTAATATGGTGCACAGTGAGTGCGCACACCCATTCTCTCATGTCTAGGTGACTCAGGCTTATTGTGGCAATGTTGAATGAATGACAAAGAAAACGTATATATACGTTTGGGGCTCTACGCGCATGAACGTATATATATACCTTTTGGACCGTTTAAGGGTTAAATATACTTACACACTGTGCTGGTGTGCAGGTGCACATTAAAATCGCTAAGTCTCTCTCTACTCATGACGCCAATACTACGTAATAATAATCACTCTTGGGCACACTAAATGTCTTATTTTACATCAATATAGGCATTTTCATTAATCCATCTATGATATTTTCCTCAAAATTATATATGAAACCCATTACATAGCATACAAACATGATACATACACTCAGAATAAAAATTTATGTAAATATGAGATTTGTTTACAAAGCAGCTGTGTAGGTAGTGTTGGAAGAATTACATTTTCTCTAGTCAAACACTGGGGGGGTAACTGTAGAAAAATATTCTTTTCGTATGCCTTTACTTTATGTATAGCAATTCACGACCCTTGTGGGTTTAGTGCTTTTTATAATAAATAATAATAATTATTATTATTATTATTATTAATATTATTATTATAATAATAATAATAATAATAATAATAATAATAATAAATAATAATATTATTATTATTATTATTATTATTATTATTAATATTATTACTATTATTAATATTATTATCTTCATTCACTCTAAAAATGGTGTGTTGCTGTTTGCTTATTTTGAACTAACTTGTACAACTTGTAAAACAATGTAAGAGTATTTGTATTGTGATGTAATTTTTATTAAAATAAAAAAATATTGAGGTAAATGTTTTACAAACTCTTACAAATGGATGTGAATGAACTAAGAGTAGACACATATTAATACGCATTTCGCCTGACCAAGTGATCGTCCACTACCTGTTCAGTTTGGTGTTCTTACATTGTCTCAACTCTGTATCTCGTTCTCTCTCTCGTTTACTCTTTCGTTAACTAGTTGGCTCTCATTGACGATGGCATCTAAAGTTAGCTGTAATAAAAAGAGAAGTTGTAAGCCTCTTGCTTTAAGTGCCAAGTTAGAGGATGATGGTGTGCCATTTTGATTTTATTCAATAAACACCCTGCCACTCACCTCTCACACATTAATATTAATATTTTAAGGTAAGTAATAAGTGTACTCTGTGTGTATCTTACCTTTTATTGTGTTTTTAATGCCTATTTCTATTGCTAACTTAATATAAGTTAGTGTAAACTTGTTGTCTGGCATTTATTGCATATTTTATATGACTGATAATAATACTGTACTTGTGGAGCCAGGTGGAGGGACAACATTACATTTTCTCTGTTCAGCCATCAGAGAAAACGTGTATGAATCTGCGTTTGGCCCAGCCACTCCCCCATTCCGCTTTTGTTTACAATTTTCGGCATGAATTATGCATTACTTCTACCTTCGTTTATGATGGCATCTAAAGGTAGTTGTTAGAAATTATTAAATTCAGTGAACAAGGCATGTTGATGTTAATAATATGGCTCTGGGCCACAGTGTAGGTAGCCAGTAGGTGTAGCCTAGGCTACACCTACCGGCTACCTACACTGACTTTATATAAATAAATACTACTCACCTCTCTTCCTATATTAAGACTACACATATTTTAAGGTAAATAATGAGTGTACTGTATGTGCATTTTACCTCTCTGGGATGTTTTAAATATTGTATATTAAGTATGAGACAGGGAGCCAGTGCTACCTACACCTGGGCTACCTGCGCCTGACTTCCTACAAATAAGTACTACTCACCTCTCTCCCTACATTAAGATTACAAATACTTTAAGATAAGTAATGAATTTACTGTGACTGTATTTTACTTTGTGTGTTTTTAATGCCTAGTTCTATTACTAACTTAATATAATTTAGTGTAAACTTGTTGTCTGGCATTTATATGCACAAGGCACAGTACTCGCTCCCATCTTGTTCCTCATCCTCATGTCTGACATAGACAAGGATGTCAGCCACAGCACCGTGTCTTCCTTTGCAGATGACACCCAAATCTGCATGACAGTGTCTTCCATTGCAGACACTGCAAGGCTCCAGGCAGACATCAACCAAATCTTTGTGGGCTGCAGAAAACAATATGAAGTTCAACGATGAGAAATTTCAATTACTCAGATATGGTAAACACGAGGAAATTAAATCTTCATCAGAGTACAAAACAAATTCTGGCCACAAAATAGAGCGAAACACCAACGTCCAAGACCTGGGAGTGATCATGTCGGAGGATCTCACCTTCAAGGACCATAACATTGTATCAATCGCATCTGCTAGAAAAATGACAGGATGGATAATGAGAACCTTCAAAACTAGGGTTGCCAAGCCCATGATGACACTCTTCAGGTCACTTGTTTTATCTAGGCTGGAATATTGCTGCACACTAACAGCACCTTTCAAGGCAGGTGAAATTGCTGACCTAGAAAATGTACAGAGAACCTTCATGGTGCGCCTAACGGAGATAAAACACCTAAATTACTGGGAGCGCTTGAAGTTCCTGAACCTGTATTCCCTGGAACGCAGGCGGGAGAGATACATGATTATATACACCTGGAAAATCCTAGAGGGACTAGTACCGAACTTGCACACGAAAATCACTCACTACGAAAGCAAAAGACTTGGCAGACGATGCAACATCCCCCAATGAAAAGCAGGGGTGTCACTAGCACGTTGAGACCATACAATAAGTGTCAGGGGCCCGAGACTGTTCATCTGCCTCCCAGCATACATAAGGGGGATTACCAACAGACCCCTGGCAGTCTTCAAGCTGGCACTGGACAAGCACCTAGAGTCAGTTCCTGACCAGCCGGGCTGTGGCTCATACATTGGTTTGCGTGCAGCCAACAGTAACAGCCTGGTTGATCAGGTTCTGATCCATCAGGAGGCCTGGTCACAGACCGTTCCACGGGGGCGTTGACCCCCGGAACTCTCTCCAGGTAAACTCCAGGTAATTTATAAATGGAAAAAAATGGAGTTCTGCCTTCCGGCGACAGCCTGGAACCTAACACGCCGCATAAGTGGGGCCCTACTGTATATTGCACAATTGTTCTGTGTATTAGGGTGTAATACTGCATATACTATCCAGTGTACTACACATTGCACATTTGTGTACACATTATGGTACACTGGTTGCTGTTGTTCATAAGAGATCTAAACATTTATAATTGGAGTGCTTCACAAATTTACTAATTCAGATTCTGTACTTTGATCATGGACTATTGTAAATAAAAAATATTTCAGATCTCAATACATTCATTTCCATATCTTTCAAAAACTTCTTTGTTTGCCTCTAACTTTCACATTTCCTATACAGTATTAATTCTTACCCTTCAAGAAGCTCTTTCTTTCACATGAATGTGTATGGGTCTTGCAGTTAGTGTATAGACACTCCTGGGCATCACTATCAGAGGCACGGGTACAAGCTGGGAGGAGAGCAGCAGAGGAGGCAAGGCAGCGGGCAGCAGACATGGCAGCAGCAGTAGGTGGCATGCTAGGACCATGTCTCGCTGTGAAAGAGGATGCTTGTACACATGTTGCCATTACTGAAGGTGAGTCACTGTGCTGGCTTTCTGAGGACTCTGGTTTCCAAAGAGTTAAGTTAAAATATTTCCCTATTATGGATGCTCAAGTTCACCAGCATCTGCTGGTGGACTTGAGCTTGATTTTCTACCCCAATTAATAAATTAAGGATTACCACATAGTGTTCTTTAATGTTGCCGAAGAGGAAACAAATGGACTTAAGAGCTTCACATAGAGTACTAAATATGATCACATATACAATACATGTATATGTGATACTACAGAACTTCTTATCTCATTTGAGTTATCTTAACAGATCTCAGTTAAAATGTCAGTTGTATCCTTTCTTCCAGACAGGGCAGAGTCATGGGTGATCGACACAGCTCTCAAGCGGCAGGAGTTACATGCCCATATACCTACTATCATCCAGAGTACCATAAAGGCCAGCTTCTCTCTCTTGTCTTACGGTGTACCCAAGACAAAAAAAGCATAAAAATGTTTTCTAAAGATTTTATAATATGCGGCAAAATATTAGATAACAAATAGTATATAGGAGTATCAGAATAGTGATAACTAGAGCATAATTTCTCTAAGATTACCATCCATCCTATCATTTTACCTGCAACACTGAAACCTGTAGCTTCACATTTTCAGTTGTATAACTTTCAGTAGCTTTCATTACAGAGAAATCATTAGCCATCATCATTGTTCTATCATATAATATTTACCTGAACAATAGCAGTAACAAATTAGTACCATTCTTGTTTCTCTAAAGTCACTGTTTAATTTTGCTGTAACCTTTTTCATTGCTAATATTATATGCTCCTTAACCCTTTGAGGGTCGACAGGCCCTCTCAGAAACTCGTTCTCAGGGTCGGCCAAATTTAAAAAAAAAAAAATAATTTTTTCTTATGAAAAGATAGAGAATCTTTTCCCGATCATAATGACACCAAAATTATGTGATTTGATGGAAAACTTACGGAATTATGCTCTCGCGAAGTTAGCGGTCACTGCGATGTTTACGCATCGGCGATTTTGCCCAATTTGAGCCCCATTTTCGGCCAATTCCTCTGTACTAGTTGACAAAAAACATGAATATTTCGCTAGAACTACATTTTTTCTATTGAATGAGTGCAAGAAACCACCCATTTACCATTTTCAACTATCCAATACAGTGGTCAGAATTTAGCAATTTTGCCAATTTCACACAAATTTCAAAAAATGCCAATTTCCGAATAGGGTCCAGAACAAACAAGAAATACATTCCTGGCACTAAAATGACATTTCTTCTGTTCATTAGTCACGTCTCAAGGCCCCTCTTACATTCTTTTGCTTTCCACTTTGAATTTTTATTCTCACGAAAAATAGAAGATTTACTGTTATGCAGACTACTGCATTAGTGTAAAAAATTATATAAATCATATTGGCGCACTTGCAAAAGAATGTTAGACTCACCAGTTGACGTGTATTGGACGCTTGGCATGATTTGTTTACTTTTGAACTTTGGTAAAAATCGAACATTTCTCCTACTTTGAGCTCAATTTCAAGGTACTTTTCTTTGTAAAACCAGTGAAAATTATCTCAATTTCTGTGATATGCATTCAATTCTATAAAATGAGACCAAGAAAACTAGAATACAACAATAAATACCATGCGAAAATACAGAGCAAAGTCGCTGTTTTATGCCAAAAAACGGTGAAAGTTTTTTTTTCTCATTATGCACTGTGTGCTGCAGGATTTTTTTTATACTGTGCACACTGACCACATAGACCCATTCTTTCATATGGAGGCCTACCAGCCTTTTCCCGTGAGATTAGACGGCGCTAGAATTTATGCGTACTAGTACGTCAAAAACCCCTGCGCGTAAGACGTACTAGTACGTCCGAAACCCTCAAAGGGTTAAATTCCATTTATGTATTTACTACAGTAGGGCCCCACTTATACAGCAGGTTAGGTTCCAGGCTACTGCTGGAAAGCAGACATCACCAGAAAGCAGAACGCCATTTTTTTGCACTTATAAATGCATATAAATGCCAGATAACAAATTTACACTAACATATACAGTGGACCCTCTGTTTTCGTTAACCTCTGATTTCGTGATTTTCGGTTATCACCGATCACCGACTTTTTTTTTGTTAATTCTCTTTGGTTTCGTTGGTCATACAGAACACGTCCGAGTGCCTGCGCACACATAAAGCCTCCCACACACCATCCTGAGTTGGTGTGGCATTGTTTCTCGGCGAGTGAACATTACCATGCGAGGTCATACAAAACATTTCATAATAATACATAATTTTTTGCACTTGTTTATTGTGTATGACTGCTAAATAAGCCACCATAAGTTAGACAGTCCTAAATGAAGCACTGACTTTCTTGGGTTATCCTGGGTGGCTAACCCTCTGGGGTTAAAAATCTGAACAAAATCTTATCTTACCATGGGCCCAAAGAAAGCTTCTAGTGCCAGCCCTTTGGTAAAGAAGGTGAGAAACACGATAGAATTCAAGAAAGAACTCTTAGAAAAACATGAAAGTGGCATACGTGTGGTGGACCTCGCCAGGATGTAAGGAAAGCCTGCATTAATGATCAGTTCCTTTGTGGTAAAGAAACAAGAAATAAAGGAAGCTGATGTTGAAAAAGGGTAAATGTGCTAACGAAACAGAGATCATGGGCAATCGAAGATGTGGAGAAATTGTTGGTATGGCTCAACCAAAAACAATTAGTGGGAGATAGTGTTATGCAGTCGATAATTTACAAAAAGGTAAGGCAGTTGCATGGGGATCTCATAAAGAAAATGCCTGGAACGAGTACTGCTGCTAGTGAATTTAAGGCCAGCAAAGGCTAGTTCAAAAATTTCAAGAAGCGTAGTGGCATACACAGTGTTGTAAGGCATGGTGAGGCTGCAAGTTCAGACAAATGTGTGGCTCAAAAATTTGTGCATAAATTCAAAGAGTACATAGAGGCTGAAGGAGTCGTCCCCCAACAAGTGTTCAGTTGTGACGAAACAGGCCTCTTTTGGAAGAAAATGCCGAAGAGGACCTACATCACGCAGGAGGAAAAGGCACTGCCAGGACACAAGCCTATGAAAGACAGGCTAACTCTCTTGTTCTGTGGTAATGCTAATGGGGTTTCAAAGTGAAGCCTTTACTGGTGTATCACTGAAAATCCCAGTGTGTTTAAGAAAAACAATTTTGTCAAGACTTAATTGTGTGTGATGGGTCATGAGGCATATTTTCCTTGATTGGTTCAATGAAGTGTTTGGCCCAAGTGTGAAGAAATACCTCCTGGATAATCAGTTGCCACTCAAGTGCCTCCTGGTAATGGACAATGCTCCTGCTCATCCTCCAGACTTGGATGACCAATTGTTGGAGGAGTTTAGTTTCATCACAGTGAAATTCTTGCCCCCTAATACCACTCCTCTCAACCAGCCCATGGACCAGCAGACCATTTCTGACTTAAAAAACTCTACACCAAAGCAGTGTTTCAAAGGTGCTTTGACATGACCTCAGACACTGAATTGACCCCAAGAGAGTTCTGGAGGGATCACTTCAATATCCTCAGTTGCATAACCCTTATTGATGAGGCTTGGCAGGGCGTGACTTTCAGGACGATAAACTCTGCTTGGAGAAAATTGTGGCCAGAAAGTGTCCAAGACAAAGATTTTGAAGGGTTTGGGGCTGACCCTGATGACCCTTTACCTGTTGTGGAATCTATTGTGATATTGGGAAGTTCCATGGGGTTGGATGTGAGCTGGCTAGGATGTGGAAGAGTTGGTGGAGAACCACAGTGAAGAGCTAACCACTGAAGAGCTGCAAGACCTTCATCTGGAGCAGCAACAAACCACAGCTAAGGAAATTGCTTCAGAGGAGGAGGAAGAGAGAGGGAAGTAGGTGCCTTCTTCAGTGATTAAGGACATTTGTGCAAAGTGGAGTGAGGTGCAAATGTTTGTGGAGAACATCACCCTAAGAAAGCGTCCAATACACGTCAACTGGCGAGTCTAATATTCTTTCATAAGTGCGTTGATATTATTTATACCATTTCTACACTAATGCAGTAGACTGAATGACAGTAAATCTTCTATTTTTTGTGAGAATAAAAATTCAAAGTGGAAAGCAAAAGAAATGTAACAGAGGCCTGGGGACATGACTAATGAACAGAGGAAATGTTATTTTAGTGCCAGGAATGTCTGTCTTGTTTATTTTGGACCCTATTTGGAAATTAGCATCTTTTGAAATTTGTGTGAAATTGGCAAAATTGCCAATTTCTGACCACTATATTGGATAGCTGAAATTGGTAAATGGGTGGTTTCTTGTACTCATTCAATAGAAAAAAAATTGGGCTCAAAGTGGGGAAAATCGTTGATGCGTAAACGTCAAGACCGCTAACTTCACAAGAGCATAATTCCATAAGTTTTATATCAAATTTCTTACTTTTGGTGTATTATGATAAGTTAATGTTAAGCCTGCCCATAATGCTCTGCATACAAGGGGCTTTGGCATGTTGCACTTTAATAACTGTATTCCCTTGTACTTCTCTGTATCATGTTCAAATTAATAAATAAATAAATAAAAGATTCTCTATCATTTCATAAGAATTTTTTTTTTTTTTTTTTCCAAAAAATTTCCAACCCTGAGAACAAGTTTAGGAGAGGGCCTGCTGACCCTGAAAGGGTTAATAACATAGAAACATGATATATACTCTAGAATAAATATACATATGTCATAATGTATGTGAGGATAAGTGATGGAAGTGTTGTTGGGTTTATAATGGCCAATGAGAGAAGCCGTACAGGCTTCTGCCACCACCACTATCCACAAACAATATATGAACGTAATTTATAAATAAGAAATATTTACATTTTAATTTATAAATAAGTAAGTTTATTCAGGTATACACTAATACAGTTACATACATAGATTATTATACTTAGCAGCATGTGTGTAAAGTACCTAGGATAACCCAGAAAAGTCAGAGTGATTTACGTATTTCCATTGGGGTCCTTTTATATTTACACTTTTATATTTACACTTACCTTGGAGGAGATGTTAGTTTAATTAGTTTGATGGAGGAGATGCTGGCAGGGGTTTAGAGTGGTGGAAGGTACGTAGCAGGCCGGCGTATGTTCAGCAGCCCGATACACATACAACAACATTGGAGAGTTACTTTTGTGTCGTTTTTCTATTGCTTACTTACTTGCTACACTATTAATTCTACACTTTATCTCTGGCTGGCGCTATAGCCTTTATCGATACCTGCTGTTGTAGTATCGTACATATCGTAGAATCAATGAATCACTGCAGAAGGCACATTCACCCCTCTCTCTTCCTCCTCCACTTTGGTACTTTGCTACGAGTTTTTTCTTGAATTTTATTGTGTTTCCTTCTTTATCATAGGGCTGGCACTAGAAACTTTCTTTGGGCCCATGGTGGCTTATTTAGCAGTTACAAGCACTAAAAACAATGGAATAATACAAAATATATCACATGTACGCGTGGAATCGTCCTCCCTGGCTTGTAAACAATGGCACACTACCTTGTACGTACATGGGCTAAGGCCATGAGGACATGTTTGGGATGAATGTCCTTAACTGAATTTTTCATCGTTGGCTGAGCCAATATTTTTAGGCAAAAACACGATAAAATCGGTATCCGATTTTATCGCTATCAGATGGCATCGTTACCTAAGGGACCACTGTAATCATAAAGAAGCACTAAACCCACAAGGGTCGTGAATAGCTATAGATAGAGTGAAGGCATACAAAAGTAATAAATTTCTAGTTAAGTCACTGGTGTTTGACTAGAGAAAACGTAATTCTTCCGACCCTCACACCAAGAGTAATAGTAAACAGAGTAAAGTCCCAGGCAGCCATGGCAAAAAGCTCTGTTCCACAGGGCACAGTGTTCTCTCCCATTCTATTCCTCATCCTCATTTCTGACATAGACAGAGATGTAAGTCATGGCTCCATGTCTTCCTTTGCTGATGACACCCGAATTACCATGGCAGTGACCTCCATCGAAGACACCGCGAGACTCCAAGCGGACATCAACCAAATCTTCAAATGGGCCACTCACAACAATATAAAGTTCAACAAGGAGAAATTTCAACTACTCAGATATGGGAAACTTGAGGAAATTAAAAATGTATCAGGGTATACGACAAATTCTAACATACAATAGAGCAGAAAAGCAATGTGAAAGACCTGGGAGTGATAATGTCAGAGGACCTCACCTTCAAAGACCACAACAGTGTATCTACCTCATCTGCTAGGAAAATGGTAGGATGGATAATGAGAACCTTCAAAACTAGGGATGCCAAGCCCACGATGATTCTCTTCAAATCGCTTGTGCTCTCTAGGCTGAAATACTGCTGTACACTAACGGCCCCCTTCAAGGTTGGCAACATTGCGGACCTGGATACTATCTTCGGCTAGTATTTTTACTGCTGAATTGTATGCCATTCTTGCAGCACTTATCCGTATTGCATCTATGCCTGTGTCATCATTTGTGGTTGTCTCAGACTTCCTTAGTGCTTTACAGGCTATACAGAAATTTGATACACCTCACCCCTTAGTCCTCCGTATCCAACTTTGGCTATGCCGCATCTTTACCAAGCATAAAGATATTTTTTTTGTTGGGTCCCTGGTCATGTTGACATACAGGGCAATGAACAGGCAGACACTGCTGCGCGGTCAGCAGTACATGACCTACCAGTTTCATATAGAGGTATTACATTTACGGACTATTTTGCTGCAATAGCTACCCACCTTCACACCCGTTGGCAACAACGTTGGTCTACTATGCTCGGTAACAAACTTCAATCTATTAAACCGAGTATAGGTTACTGGCCGTCTTCTTGTCACCAGTGTCGAGGTTGGGAGACTACTCTCTCCCGTCTTCGCATTGGCCATACTCATCTTACTCATGGATATCTCATGGAGAGGCGCCCTGCTCCTCTCTGTGAGAATTGTCAGGTTCCATTATCAGTCAGCCACATTCTGTTAGACTGCCCACTTTATCAACGAGCACGCAGAATTTACCTCCGTTGTCCTCTTCGCTCCGCTGCTCTCTCTTTACCTTCCCTTCTCACTGATGGACCCACCTTTCATCCGGACTCTCTCATTGACTTTTTGACAACTGACTTACTTCACAAACTCTGATACCTTCAGCCCTTTCTACCTCAATCTCTTGCTACCCTCTACCCCCGCACTATCCCCTGCCCCGCTGTTTTCTGTAACCTACTGATCATCCCTCCCCCCTTCTGCCACCCAATACCCTCGCTTCCTTCCCTACCCTGCAGCGCTGTATAGGCCTTGTGGCTTAGCGCTTCTTTTTGATTATAATAATAATAATGCGGACCTGGAGAGTGTACAAAGAACTTTCATGGTACATATATAAGCACGATAAGGCACCTAAATTACTGGGAACGGTTGAAGGTCCTTGATCTGTATTCCCTGGAACGCAGGCGAGAGAGATACACGATAATATACACTTGGAAGGTTCTGGAGGGATTGGTACCAAACCTGCACACGAAAATCACTCCCTATGAAAGCAAAAGACTTGGCAGGAGATGCAGCATTCCCCCAATGAAAAGCAGGGGCGCAACGAGTACACTGAGAGACAACACAATAAGTATCCGGGGTCAAAGACTGTTCAACTGCCTCCCAGCGTACATAAGGGGGGATTACCAATAGACCCCTGGCTGTCTTTAAGAAGGCACTGAATAGGCACCTAAAGTCAGTACCTGACCAACCGGGCTGTGGTTTGTACGTCAGCTTGCATGCGGCCAGTAGTAACAGCCTGGTTGGTCAGACCCTGGTCCACTGTAAGGCCTGGTCTCAGACCGAGCTGCAGGGGCGTTGACCCTCGAAACCCTTCCCAGGTAAACCAACCGCTTGGTAAAATATCTTATATTTATGTCAATTTTTATATTGTGGATATATGTATCATGTTTATATGTTACGTAGTGTGTTTATTACAAAATTTTGAAAAAATATCATAGGTGGATTAATAGAAATGTCTATATTAGCATAATATACAACATTTAATGTGCCCAAGAGATTACGTGCATTATTATTAACATGGCGTCAAGAGAAGAGACACTCTTAGTGATTTTAATGTGTACCTGCACTCCAGCACAGTGTGTAAGTATATTTAGGTACAGGTACACACAATTATAATTATCAGAGTACATATAAAATTGTAGGTAGTAGGTTGGTAGACAGCAACCACCCAGGGAGGTCCTACCGTCCTGCCAAGTGAGTGTAAAATGAAAGCCTGTAATTGTTTTACACAATGGTAGGATTGTAAATGAATGGTTCAAAGAACCAACACGTTGTTAAATTAGAAACGTGTCTAATTTAACAACGTATCGGTTCTTTGAACCATTCATCTACAATCCTGTCAGACACTGCAACTTTTTGGGATCTTAATACTTGGGAATTCTTCGCTTGCCTAACCCTTGCGCATGACCTACTTCCACATTGGACAAATGTGACACCACCTTCGACTACTGCACCTCTCCTGCCATACGGTTTATAAGCTGCTTCTCCGCTCATATGCCGTATTCTATTCAAGATTGATGGACTGACCACATCGACTCTAGGTTGAGGGACTGATTACCTCATTCTCCTCCTGTTCTTCAAGTTTATCCTTTGTATGGACTGATGAAGCCACTGTGTGGCGAAACGTTTCCTCAATAAAGATACCCAAGAGTTGCACATGTGTCTAATTTAACAATGGTAGGATTGCCGGTGTCTGCACATGTGTCTAATTTAACAATGGTAGGATTGCTGGTGTCTTTTTTTCTGTCTCATAAACATGCAAGATTTCAGATACGTCTTGTTACTTCTACTTACACTTAGGTCACACTACACATGCATGTACAAGCATATGTATACACACCCCTCTGGGGTTTCTCCTATTTTTTTTTACTAGCTCTTGTCCTTGTTTATTTCCTCTTATCTCCACGGGGAAGTGGAACAGAATTCTTCCTCCATAAGCCATGTGTGTTGTAAGAGGCGGCTAAAATGCCAGGGGCAAGGGGCTAGTAACTCCTCTTTTATAAATTGCTGGGAAGCAATTGAACAGTCTTGGGCCCCGGACACTTATTGTGTTGTCTCTCAGTGTACTCGTGGCACCCCTGCTTTTCATCTAGGGAATGTTGCATCTCCTGCCGAGTCTTTTGCTTTCACATGGAGTGATTTTCGTGTGCGGGTTTGGTACCAATCCCTCCAGGACCTTCCAAGTGTACAGGTACCATCCGACTTACGACCGAGTTCGGTTCTGACAAACCGGTCGTAAGTCAAAATGGACGTACTGCATTTTATACTGTAAGGTTTAGGATAAACACTGTGTACAACACAGTTGTTTATTTCCCAGAAATTTGGCATAGAAAACACGGTCGTAAGTCGAATGGTTGTATATCGAGCAGTTCGTAAGTCAGATGGTAGGTGTATATTATCATGTATCTTTTTCGCCTGCATTCGAGGGAATACAGATCAAGGACCTTCAACCGTTCCCAGTAGTTTAGGTGCCTTATCGCACTTATCTTCCATGGGGAAGTGGAACAGAATTCTTCCTCCGTAAGCCATGCGTGTTGTAAGAGGCGACTAAAATGCCAGGAGCAAGGGGCTAGTAACCCCTTCTCCTGTATAAATTACTAAATTTAAAAAGAGAAACTTTTGTTTTTCTTTTTGGGCCACCCTGCCTCGGTGGAATACGGCCAGTGCGTTAAAAGAAAAGAAAGATCGCACTTATGTGTGCTGTGAAAGTTCTCTGTACACTCTCCAGGTCTGCAATGTCGCCAGTCTTGAAGGGGGCCGTAGTATACAGGTTTGTATGTTCAGAATATTTGTTTAAAAACTAATCCTTTCCTTTTTAACACTTAAACGGTCCAAACGTATATATACGTTCATACGCGTAGCGCCCCAAACGTATATATAAGTTTTCTTTGTCATTCATTCAACATTGCCACAATATGCCTGAGTCACCTAGACATGAGAGAATGGGTGTGCACACTCACTGTGCGCCATATTAAAATAATTGGGCATGCCTGGGTACCATATTCTCTTTTTTCCTTTTAAAAGAAAAGATTTTTTTTCCTCAAAAAATTTGGGGCGCTACGCGAGTGAACATATATATACGTTTGGACCGTTTAAGGGTTAAGTGATACTAGTACATAATTTAATAATTTAAATTCATCACAGTTCAATTATCACCATACTTGCTTAAAAATCTTATCAGTGAATGTTAAAAAAGAAAATAATATCTATGATAATATGCTCATGTGCAAATAAATTACTAAATTATGTTTAACACAGCTAGCTCCAAAAAACTATTTTTATATAATGTAAAAGTATTGCATTAATTATTATATGATGAAAATAACCCAACATTGTCTTTGTCAACCATTTTTTAATAAATTGCAATTTGCTGCAAACATTTGAAATGATTATATATTCATATAAATTATGATAATGGATTTACTTGACTCCTAGAATATGCACACAGCATTGAGAGATTTTTAGATATATTCAAAGACTTGAATAACAGCCATTACACCTTACAAATAAGCATGTTCAGAACCACTCATGGCTGAGTGGTTCTAGACATCCATATTTAGTTCTCTGGCTAGGTTTATATCCAGCTCATGCAGATACAAATATATCATTTGTAAAATCTACTGTTATTCAAATTTTTGAACAAACCATAAATTTCATATGGTGTGGATGTCTCAGGAGTCAATGAAATATTCTTACATTCATCCAGAGTGCCTTGAAATTTGAACAAGTATACTTCAAGAATAACTGATATGGTGTGGGTTTATATCCAGGACATAGTGAAGTACAATATGATGTTTCATCATGTATACTTGTTTGATCCTAACAAAGATGATCATAAGAATGATTCAGTAGGGTCATCGCTGAACCTCTTAGTTCATCTCTATGCATTTGCTAATGAAGCTTGTTTTGCACCAGTAGGCCTCAGCTCCTAGGGAGTAGGCTTCACATCCATGCAAACAAGAATGAAGAGTACATGGGTGTCCATGCACAACCAGTACATGGGAGCAGTACTTGGTTAGTTGCCAGTGCATCCCAATGCATTGATAAAGTCTATAATTCCTATTCTCCAAGAAAAAATTTCAGAGGGGTTAGTAGAAAATTGCAATTACTAAACTATTCTAACACATCAGACCTTTGAAAGGCAAAAATGGTCAATAACTTATTATGATGAAATCTTTTTGTACTTGCAAAATATCAACTTGAAAGTAAATTTTATAGTACTTTACAGTAAATTAAGTAACCCTTCTAAAACTGTCATATCTGAGTGCCTCTGCAAAGACAGTGATTATGTATGAGTGCAGTGAAAGTGTTGAATGATGAAAGTATTTTTCTTTTTGGGAATTTTCTTCCTTTTTGGGTCACCCTGCCTCAGTGGGAGACGACCAATGTGTTGAGAGAGAGAGAGAGAGAGAGAGAGAGAGAGAGAGAGAGAGAGAGAGAGAGAAAAAAAAAAGTGGCAGCATGAAAATCCAGATTTAATGGTTAGTCAATACATTCAGGCTTACACCAATCTCTCTTACTGCTGCTGTGATTAGGGCTAAAGATTATTTAATCAAAAGGGAAAATCAAATCTATGTTAGGTAAATGTATATCAATATATGGGGTAGTTATAAATTAGGAAAAAATAGTTATTACACTTTGTGAGTACAGTGGACCCTCAGCTAGCGATATTAATCTGTTCCTGAAAGCTCATTGTTAGCTGAAATTATCGTTAGCTGAATTAATTTTCCCCATAAGAAATAATGGAAATCAAATTAATCCGTGCAAGACACCCCAAAGTATGAAAAAAAAAAAAAATACCACATGAAATATTAATTTTAATACACAAACTGACACTTACCTTTATTGAAGATCTGGTGATGATTGATGGGATGGGAGGAGGAGAGAGTGTGGAAGTTGTTAATGTTTAGAAAGGGAATCCCCTTCCATTAGAACTTGCAGTATCAAGTCCTTTTCCGGGGTTACTTCCCTTCTTCTTTTAATGCCACTAGGACCAGCTTGAGAGCCACTGGACCTCTGTCGCACAACAAATCTGTCTATAGAGGTCTGTACCTCCCGTTCCTTTAAGATTTGCCTAAAATGGGCCACAACATTGTCATTGTAATAGTCACCATCATGGCTTGCAATAGTTGTGTTAGGGTGATTTTTATCCATAAAGGTTTGCAGTTCAACCCACTTTGCACATATTTCCTTAATCTTTGAAGTAGGCACAATGGATTCCACAACTGGCATAGGCACCTCAGGGTTAGCCCCAAACCCTTCAAAATCTTTCTCAATTTCCATACTAATTCTCACCCTTTTTATCACAGGGTTGGCACTAGAAGCTTTCTTGGGGCCCATGGTAACTTATTTTGCAGGTACAATCACTAAAAACGCTGTGATAATATGAAATGTTCCGATTGTATGCATGGATGCGACCGCACTGGCTGGCTTGTAAACACTGGCACCCACGGGACAACTGAGGCGCGCTCGGGCCACACGTGGACGTGTCTCGAACAAATCGTGTTGGGTGAGTTTTTTAGCGTTAGCTGAGGCAAAATTTTTGCGTTAAAATGTATCGTTAGCGGGATTTAACGTTAGCTGAGGGTCCACTGTATAGGTGAACTGGAACTAATAAAATATATACATACTAATACTGCACATATGTGCACTACACACGTATACTGGTACCTTGGGATACGAACAGCTCAAAACTCGAACAATTATGTAAATATTTATGTAACTGCTTTTGTAAGTGTATTTTTGGGGGTCTGAAACGGATTAACCTAATTTACATTATTCCTTATGGGAACAAATTCATTTGGTATCGGCACTCGAACAGCCTTCTGGAACGAATTACAGTAAGTTCGTATCCCGAGGTACCTCTGTACGTATTTATAACCAGGATATATATAAACTTGGAGGTGTACGTCTCTCAGTGTACATATTCTGAAAGACTAATCTCTACTTTAGGGATAAGAAGTATTCTTGACTAGTGGTGAGCAAGTTATATACAATATACAGCCTTAATGACAGTTGTAATAGTCAATAGGCTTTAAACTCCAGTTCTGTTTCATAAATTACATACCACCAGTAAATTTAACTGTTCAGAGGACCTTGCTGTTTTTTTTCATCATTTAGTTCCCATTTCATACTTGTAGATTATTTGCATAAAACTGATCAGAAAGCTTTGAAAAATTTCCAAATTTTCATGCTCTTAACATCCTAAGATGATTTTTAGGATAATGAAAAAATAATGCATTTTACTTTTTGTAATTTGAGTAACACTTAAAGATTAAATAATAAAATAATCCTTTATAAAACATATATCAAGAAAAGTATTGTAGGTTGTATATACCAGTTCATACAAAGGTCAACAAAGCAAATGCATGAACATAAATTAATAATGTTGAAATATGCAATGTTAAAAAAATAGCAAATGGTATTAATCTATCACAGATATGTACTGTACAGGTTGGCCATCACTAATCCGGCATCATTGGGACCTGTAGTGTGCCAGATTAGTGAGTCTGCCGGATTACACAGTGGTTAGGTTAGAATACACTTAATTAACCTATCAATAGAGAGACTTTCTGCTACATCTTCCTCATTTTCATCACTGCTTTCTCCTCCACTGGCTTGCTGCTGTGGATTTACAATCATCTGCACAATTTCCAAGTGAGTATAATGATGAAATTTGAAATTATGTTAGCTGAAATTAGTGCCGGATTACTGATGGAACCGAATAACTGATTGCCGGATTAGTGATGGTTGACCTGTACTGCATTATGAGATGGGAAATACATGTATACAGTGGACCCCCGGTTAACGATATTTTTTCACTCCAGAAGTATGTTCAGGTGCCAGTACTGACCGAATTTGTTCCCATAAGGAATATTGTGAAGTAGATTAGTCCATTTCAGACCCCCAAACATACACTTACAAACGCACTTACATAAATACACTTACATAATTGGTCGCATTCGGAGGTGATTGTTATGCGGGGGTCCACTGTATATACAAATATATATATATTTGGTCCAGCTTACTGAAGTGGAAATGGAGTTAAGATTTGCAAACTATGTGTATGTACTGTATATTATCAGCCAAAAGTTAACTGTTATAAAATTGAGTATTACAGTAACTTGTTTTTATTGTTCTGTTGAAGGCTTACAACAGCTTTACAGCTGTTTAAATCCTACTGTTTACACTGAAAACAAGGGAGATAACAATTTGACAATAGAACCAGTGGCCTTCAAAATGTCATGGAAATAGAAAATAAAGGCCCTCCTTGTCAAGGAGACAGAGCAATAGGTAGCAGACTACAAACAATCATGGCCCTGCGTAGTGCACACCAGTGGCTGACTCAGGGAAACCCCACAGACAGAAAAGGCTGTTAACCAGCCAGTAATGGAAAGAATGGGCCATAAGCCAGGAATGATTAGGACTTCTTTACTTGCATAACTTCTTTACTTGCATAACTGCAATGCGACTTACATCCTTTGTATTTTCATACTACATTCTACTGCAGTCTTTTTGCAATTAAGGAGTACAAAATCTAAATGGGTCATATGAACCCTCCCATTACAGGTTTGGAATCATAATTGTTCTGACATTATTTAATTTTTTAAATGTTTATTCTATTAAACATTTTCAAATTACTTGGTCTTTATAGATATTAACTATAATTATTTAAAATACTTCACAAGTACCATTATGTAATCTGATGCTTTTATTTAAATATAATCTAGTACTTGATTGATAGCTCTGTGCAAGAGTAATGTATATTGCTAATACTGGTGAATGTGCATAAGTGGAATGTTGGTCATCTATGTGCTTGTATTGTGCTGTGATCTGTGGAGTAGAATTATGCTGATGACCAGTGGAGTAGAATTATGCTGATGACCAGTGGAGTAGAATTATGCTGATGACCAGTGGAGTAGAATTATGCTGATGCTCTGTGGAGTAGAATTATGCTGATGATCCATGGAGTAGAAGTATGCTGATGATCCATGGAGTAGAATTATGCTGATGGTCTGTGGAGTAGAATTATGCTGATGATTTGTGGCTTAGGATTATGCTGATGATCTGTGGAGTAGAATTATGCTGATGGCCCATGGAGTGGAATTATGCTGATGATCTGTGGAGTAGAATTGTGTTGATTATCCATAGAGTAGAATTATGCTGATGGTCCATGGAGTAAAATTATACTGATGGCCCATGGAGTAAAACTGTGCTGATGGTTCATAGAGTAGAATTATGCTGATGGCCCATAGAGTAGAATTATGCTTATGACCCATGGAGTAGAATTATGGTGATTGTCAATGGAGCAGAATTATACTGATAATCTGTCTCTTCATGCTTGAGCAGTATACTTGATCTGTACACTTGTGCAATGCTGATGATAGTGTGCAGAAGTATAGTGCTTATGATCAATCCTAGACATATTTAAACAAAACTCATGAAGCTTAACCTGACCAAATTTACAGAAAACAAAAATGACAAAACCCTAACCTAATCATATTTAAACCAAACATTATTTAAACATAACAGAAAACTACAGTAACCAAAATTAAAACTTATAAAAAAATTAAATGCAACTGCTTAAAGTTTAAAATATTTGTTTAAAGTGAAGTTGTATCCTGTTTCAAATTAAAACAGGACAAAGTTATTTTTCCTTTTAGTAAGTTATATGGGAAAAGGGGTTACTAGTCCATTGTTCCTGGCATTTTAGTTGACTTTTACAACACTCTCATATGGGTGTGAAGCTTGGGTTGCAAATGCTGCAGCAAGGTGGTGGCTGGAGGCAGTGATGATGTCCTGTCTAAGGGCAATGTGTGGTGTAAATATTATGCAGAGAATTTGGTGTGTGGAAATTAGGAGATGTGGAGTTACTAAAAGTATTAGTCACAGGACTGAAGAGGGGTTGTTGAGGTGGTTTGGTCATTTAGAGAGAATGGATCAAAGTAGAATGACTTGGAGAGTGTATAAATCTGTTGGGATAGGAAGGCGGGGTAGGGGTCATCCTCGAAATGGTTGGAGGGAGGGGGTAAAGGAGGCTTTGTGGGTGAGGGGCTTGGATTTCCAGCAAGCATGTGTGAGCATGTTAGATAGGAGTGAATTAAGACGAATGGTTTTAGGGAGCTGATGAGCTGTTGAAGTGTGAGCAGGGTAATATTTTGTGAAGGGATTCAGGGAAACTGGTTAGCTGGACTTGAGTCCTGGAAATGAATAGTACAATGCCTGCACTTTAACCCTTAACCCTTACACTGTCCATACGTAGATATACGTGCACGTGTGCAGCGCTCCGAATGTATATCAGCGTTTTATTTTTCATTCCTTCAAATTTGGTGCAATAGGCCTGAGTCGCCTAGACATGAGAGAATGGGTCTGCGCACTCAGTGTGCGCAGTATGAAAAAAATCGGTGATGTCAGGGTACCGCATGGTGGGATCAATTAGTTTCAGCTCCATCTTAGGTCAACATCATGGCAAACCCTCGTGATTCACTCACACCTCGTCGTATTAACACTACTATTCTCGGACAGTGAAACAGAACACGAGTTTAGTGGATTTGACAGTGATATGGCCACTAATGATCAAGGAATTAGTGAAAATATTGATGACAACCCAGATGACCCTCAGCCCATCACCTCTGGGGTAGACAGTGTGGCCATACCAGACCCTCAGCCCAGCACTTCTGAGGTGCCAGTGTGGCCACAACAGACCCTCAGCCCAGTACCTCTGGGGTTGCTAGTGTTACTACACAGAGGCAACTCTGCAAGAGGAAATTATCATTTTTCCAAGTGTTATGGTGCTGACAATAGTGAAAGTAATGTAAGTGACGATGAAATCGATTTTATGCCTATAGACGATTACTCGAGTGAAAGTGATTATCATTTTTCCCCAGTGAAACATACATTTAGGCGTCGTAACCTACGATCAGGCAATGTGCCATATGTAGTTGGTGGCACGGGTTGTGGGAGGTCACGATCCAAAACCCCAGCCACTGACAGTGATAGAGGAAGAGGGAGGTGGCATGGTGCCTGGACCTCGTGGCGCGGTGGGTGGGCAGAGAAAGAACTGCCTGGCACCCTCTCAACCATGTGCTGCCTCCACTCCTGTCCCCCCTCCTGCTACCCCATGCCCTGTGCCACAGGTCCTCCCTGCACCATCTGATCGCGAATGGAACTGGACCGACAGTACACCATTCGTGCCACATCCTTTCAATTCTGACACCAGTGGAAGTGGCATCACGCCACACTGTCCCATCACAAATGAGTCTACAGAGTTAGACTATTTTCAACTATACTTTGATGAGCCGATAATGAACCTGATTGTTACCCAGACCAATATGTACTACCAGTATACAATGGACCACACAGATGTTTCAGAATCGTCACGTCTGCACAGGTTGTTGAGAAATGGCATTACCAGCTAAGTTTAAAGAGTTTGTACGTAACTTAGAAAGACAGCTCATCGCCTGCACAGCCGCCCCTGCAGACGAAGTCTTGAGAAGCTGTCGAAGTCATCTCTCAACGGGCTGTAAAGAGTTATAATTTGTAAGATTATAAATTACCCCTAGGGGGTGTTATGTCAGCATATTTCATTCACTGATGGCTGACAAACTTACTTGTGTGGACTCAAAAGTCCGCCCCTTACTGCCGACTATAGGTTGATTACAAACTCCTTGCGACTCAAGAACTGCGCAGTCCCCCCTACTACAAGAAATTCGTAACCTACCTTGCTCTTGTAGCATGAGCTATGGTGTTCTTCACACCTTCGACAGATATCGGTGACTTGATAGAAGCTGAAGTGTCCTTGGATGTCCACGTCTTCCATAGTCTAGGAATACGCACACTGGTACACTATGTTCCACAAGATTTGTCTTTGTTGTTCACAATCTTATCACTAAAGAAGCTGATCACACTTCTCTTAAGTGTTTATTGTGTTTTATGAGACACTTTGTTCACACTAACGCACAGATCGTTCTTTGTTGGTTATCCTGGCGTCAGTGTCACTCTCAGTAGAGTCAAAAGTAATCTGAAGACGCCACAGCGCCCCACGCCGTTACTGCCCCTTGCACAAAAAAAAAAGCTGACCTAGTACTTTTGTTTCCTTGCCACTTCCTCGATGAAGCAAAGCAGAATGTTTGATTCTTGCTGTCTTAAGCATAGACAACAATGTCCACTATCTTTACCATGGTAATAAAGTGGGAGCAGGATTTTCCTTAATTGTCCTGCTAAAGTAAGAGATGTACTGTCTCTTATTAAAATACACTCTGCAACACTGGACTGCAAGGAGCAGCGGTCACTTGACCACATCGCATACTCGTACGGCATCTGTGATCAATTACTCACTGTAGCAGTAAACAAGACGCTTGCCCCTTCTGAGAGGGCTGGGCCCCTCAGGGCTGAAAGGGGCAGAAGGGGGCTGATACCCCCCTCCTGGAGAAAATTTCTCCACACAGGTGGAAAGATACAACTGTGGCTGAAATGTATTTATCCCTTGGGACTATCATGCTCATGCCACATACATATAAGAACAATATAGCAAACTACTGGTCCACAGCCCACTTCATCTGTACTCCAGTCTTCCGTGACCTCCTTCCCTGCAATAGATTCACTCTGTTGCTATGAATGTTGCACTTTACAGACAGGAATACGCCAAACTGAAATGACCTCCTATACAAACTCCAGGAATTGTTTATGTATCTGAAGCACAAATTCAGTGCCTACTTTTATCCATTCAAGAACATTGTTGTTGATGAATCCTTGATACTGTTCAAGGGACGACTGTCATTCAAACAATATATACCAAGCAAGCGCCAATAATTTGACACAAAAATGCATCAGTATCCGATTTTATCGCTATCCGATAGCACCGTTAACTGTGGGTCCACTGCATATGTGGAACAGTGGGAAGAAGTAGAAAACACATGCCAAAGTTCACTGGAGCAAGTCTAGTGGAATCGTTTCATGTCAATGATGTGATGACACTGACGTGGCATGACAAACGGGACGTGACATTGCTGTCAACTGTCCACACAAACGAGATGGTACAAACAGACAGACTGAGCAGGTTCAACAATGAACCTATTGTAAAGCCAGCTGCTGTCATCGACTATATGAACAATATGTGACTAGTCGACAAATGTGACATGATGATAGGGTTTGCTGACTGTGCGTAGGAGTTGCAAGTGGTATATGAAGGTGTTTTTCCACCTTGTAGACATTGCAATGCTCAGTGCCTTCAACATGTACGAAGTGAAGACTGGGAAGAGACAACGATATGCAAAATTCACCCTCAGTGTCATCAAGCAGATAGCGAAAAAGTATGGTACCACACCTATACCTGCCACTCCACAGCGACCTGTCACCCCACAACCAGAGGGGAAGTGCCCAACTGTATAATCTCTGACTGTCACTGCCTGATACCATTACCATCTACTCCAAAGAAGAAGCATTCTCAGAAATAGTGCGGTGTGTGTGCTTACACTACACAGCGACCCTGAGTGCAAAAAGACACAATAAATGTGTCAGCAATGTGGGGTGGCACTCTATGAATCCATGCTTTTTGGAGTATCATACAGTGGTGGACTTCTAGAAACATAAATGGGACCTGTAAATACATTGTATATACAGTGGACCCTTAGCTAACAATGGCATCAACTACCGTTAAATCCGGCTAACGATACATTTTAACGCAAAAATTTTGCCTCGGCCAACGCTAAAAAAACTCACCCAACACGATTCATTCGAGACACGTCCACGTGTGGCCTGAGCGCGCCTCAGTTGTCCGTGGGTGCCAGTGTTTACAAGCCAGCCAGTGCGGTCAGCATCCATGCATACAATCAGAATATTTCATATCACAGCATTTTTAGTGATTGTACCTGCAAAATAAGTCACCATGGGCCCCAAGAAAGCTTCTAGTGCCAACCCTGCAGGAAAAAGAGTGAGAATTACTATGGATATGAAGAAAGAGATAATTGCTAAGTACGAAAGTGGAGTGTGTGTCTCGGAGCTGGCCAGGTTGTATACCAAACCCTAATCAACCATCGCTACTATCGTGGCCAAGGAAACGACAATCAAGGAAGTAGTTCTTGCAAGAGGTGCAACTTTGTTTTCGAATAAGAGATCACA